GGGGGGGGGAGTTTGAGAAAAATGTTATTTTTGCTTTTCAGCAAAATTAGAACTTGTAATAAAATTAGGTTTCAGCCTCAAGAAAATCGTCCTAAATCACTACAAGGCGTTAGGTCATTTGACTGAGACTGAGAGATGTCAAGTGACAAAGTTTTTTTCCGATCATAATGATGTCTCAAATTTTACCAAAAGTGGAGATAGACCTCTCTCATTTTCAGTAACACAATCGCGTCATTATCCTCCGCACATCGACCCCCATCTTGTTTTATCATTCTACTATTATGTGCGGTGAAAAATTCGTGGCGCGACTTATCTTCAAATATTCTCCTAAACAGGTGAATCACAGTCACTCAAACTGCACAGCAGTTTGTTTCAATTTGTCTTAACTTAATTATATTTTCCCACAGAAATTCACGCTAGATTAAAAACCTTTTCTTCATAGATTTATATAAAATACTATAAATCTCGGTCACACGTAAGGTGGGATTTTCACTGCACTTTCCGCTTCTTGCACACATTTTGTACACGCATATGGCCTACGTCACAGTTCACCAATGACACTTTTTAGTGGCAAATCTCGTTACTAGAAATTAATTTTAGAGTTAACACTTTTTTTTGCCCTAAAGATTCTCAAACCATGCGTTCAATCAGTATAAAATCGCGATTAGAAAACAACGACAGATTTGCTTTTCAAGGCGATACTGCTCGAGCTGTAAACTTTTTAAAAGCTGTAAAAACAATCGACTTGGATTTTGAAAATTAGTATTTATTAAGGAATCTTCAGAATACGGTGTACAGATGTTTGAAAAAATATTCATCGGTTAAGACAAGGTGACATTAGTCATTGTGCAAACGTTGGAGAATTTCATGTTCAATAGCTAAGAAGATATTTGACAATAAGTTACGCCACGAATGTTGACCTCACTGTAAGACTGCATAAGGAGGTAAAGCAAGGCATATATAAAGATAGTATACTTTAATGTTTACTCATTTTGACGTAATAAAAGAGTTTTACAACACGTCAAGCTTTTTCGAATGCAGTTCTACTTTGAATATCTTGAAAACGACTCCGAATAATCTTACGAATTTTATAGAGCAGACAGATCATTTAGTTTCTCATGGTCTTAGAAACTTGATAACGACTCCGAATAATCTAATGATTTTTATAAATCCGATAGAACATTTGGTATCTGACCTCATGGTAGTAGTAGTAGTAACTCAAAACGGCCAAAAATGTCTAACAGAACACGATCTATGTAATTCTAAGGTAGTGGAATGTTGACACCGAGTCAAGACACGCCATATATGACACCCCCCTCCCCCCCCTACACACACACTTTTTTTTCTGTATGTCGCTTCATCGTCTGCTTTTAGCGATGACCTTGAAAGGTTTGCAGGCCCTGAATACAAATCCGACCTGGGGTGTGAGGTCAGCCGGTGTATTGGGGTCGAGTGAAAAGTCCAGCTTCTGTAGGAGGCCTGTGGTTATGTAGAGGATGCTCTGTCTGGCCAGAAACTCTCCTGTGTGTGGGGATGGATGGGCAGGGGGGGGGGGCGAAGAATGGGATTCGAGTTTTAGTTATAGTAAGCGTTTTAAGGCATTCACAACACAATGAGATCATAATAGTGCTGAAGATTAGAGATGTTAAAGAGAGTAACTAACACAAAACGGAGGAGGAGAGATAAGGACGACAGATGTTTGATAGGAAAGAAGGAGCAACCACACCACAGCAACCGCTGACTACCTACTGAGGTGGCGTCGGTAGCCTAGTGGTTAGGCTTCCGGACTCGTAATCGTGAGATTGCAGGTTCGGGGGTTCGAACCTCAGCTCGGTCCGATGTTGTGTCCTTGGGAAAGGCACTTTACACGAATTTCCCACTTGGCTCTGTCCTTTCGGAGATGGACGTTAAACTTGGAGGCCCCGCCTCCAAAATAACCTATATTGTTGATAGGGGCGTTAAACCCATACCGTTTTTTTTCAACCTATAGATGGGATTAGAGGAGGTAAAGAGGGTGGGTGGGAGAGGGCAATGGGGAATAGAGGGTTGGTGATGGAGGGGGGAGGGGGAAAAAGAAGTTGGGG